GTATGAGTACTGGGATAAAATGCAAGTGGCTAGCACATCTAGATATCCAAAGACGAAAGCAAAGAAGTGTTTGAGTTGAACCACTCAAACATTTGGTGGGTTAACTCACCAGTAAAGGAATGAAAACATTGCTTCAAAAGAAAATTTGTCTGCTGGCTCGGCACCTGTGGCTCAAGAGGATAAGGCACCAGCCACATACACCTAAGCTGGCAAGTTCAAATCCAGCCTGGGCCCGCCAAACAGCAATCATGGCTACAACCAAAAAGTAGCCAGGCCTTGTGGCGTGTGCCTGTGGTCCCAGCTACTTGGGAGGCAGAGACAGGAGATTCGCTTGAACCCAGGAGTTGGAGGTTGCTGTGAGCTGTCATGCCACAGCACTCTACCCAGGGCAAAAGCTTGAGGCTCTGTCTCAAAAAAAAAAAAAAAGAAAGAAAAGAAAATTTGTCTGCCAATAATCGAAACAGGAGGCATATCACAATTACTCAGACTTCTTAAGATTTGTTTATATTCCCTTTGCCATAAAAAGGTATGAAAAAAGAAGTAATAGTTTTTAGTCTCTAGTTTGTTTATTAATGTATTTATTTATTTATTTTTGAGACAGAGTCTCACCATGTTGCCCTTGGTAGAGTGCCTTGGCGTCACAGCTCATAGTAACCTCAAACTCTTGGGCTTAAGCGACTCTCTTGCCTCGGCCTCCCTCGTAGCTGGGACTACAGGCGCCCACCACAATACTTGGCTAAGTTTCTAGTTTTTACTGTGTTGCCCTGGCTGGAGCGTAGTGGCTCTTCACAAGCATGATCACAGTGTATTACGGCCTTTACTTCCTGGGCTCACTTAATCCTCCTGCCTCAGCTTCTTGAGTGGCTGGGACTAGGCACAGCCTACCACACCCATGCCGTCTTCTAATTTTAAAAATCAAATATCTCATTTCCTCATCTCCTGGCATTTGTGTGTTCCAGCCACTACCAGAGATTTAGACTCCTGATAATGTTATGAAATACAACAGAAAAACAAATACAAGTTTATAACTTAGAGGAAAATCCCAAGTCCTTACTTGTTCTGAGGTGAACAGGGTCTTGTTAAATACTGGCACATCGGGAGAAGAAGAAAAGCAAAAGCTATCGTTGCAAGAACTAGAGAAAGAAAATGTATAATTAATTTTTTTATTGTTTGTTTTTTACCAATTAAAAGAAAAATGGCATGACTTACAGAGACTTAGTCATTTCCCCAAATACTTTTCTTGATAAGTAGGTATTTTTCTTCTCTAATTAAATAACTGTATCTTCCTTTAGTACTGCACAGCTAACCTCTTAAAAAGAGGTATCCAATTTGAAGTACAGGGAAGCATACGTAATTCTTCTCATTCTCTCCTATCTCCAAAAGAAAAGACAGAAAGCAGGCCACCAGATCATCTCCTAACAAATCCTGCAGCATTCTTAGCTTAAAATGGGAGACCTGACCATCAAATCACCTTAATTAGCTATCAATGTTTCTACCTGCGGAAACACTGGTAAAGGTTGCCAATGGCCTCTTTCAAACTGGACCTTCTGGTGACCTACTAGAAAAGCTACAGCCAAAGCAATACTGCCTTGGTGTCATGAAGCTCATGAGCTTTCTTTCAGATTGGGTTGGCAGAGCTCAACAGAAGAGACATGGATCAAGTGGTTCAGGGAGGAGTTGGGAGGGGAGGGGAGGAGAAAATGCTAGACTTATAAAGAAAAACTTGTAGGATGTATATAAATCTTTATTTTGGGATTATGATTAAAGAAGTGAAAATTTTTCCTTACAGCATATTAACAGACAAACTCATTTACCTGCTGTACATATTGTAAAAACTACTTGAACTGAGTCAAAGAAGAAGAACATTACTAGAAGAGAGACAGAAGCTCCAATTGGAAGGAACAGAGCCTGGGTAGAGTCAATTGTTTGGATGCCTGAAAAAGAGAAAAAGGAACACATCAACAAGTTACTATGTAACAGGTACTGTGCACTCATGCACTTTACATACATGAACTTGTTAAAATGCAGACGCTTCCAGGGATTACTATGTCAGGTCAAACACGGACTATCTAGGCCCTCAGATTCTTTCCTTCCCAATGAGATTATGAGCTCTTTGCTCTCCTCAGAGCGCCCTCATGACAGTAGGTGCTTAAGAAATACTTGCTGAATTTGAACTACTGCCTCCTCATGCTAACCATATGGAGGACAGGCTATGAAAAATAAACACCCCCCCCCAAATCAGGAACATAAACAGGTTATAATAAAGGGTGTAACAAAACATAGCTGAAAACAGCAAGTCAGAAAAATTTGTTTATTGTATGGGAACATTTTAAGGTACAAAACTAGAAGAAAAATGGGGAAAAGAGAATTCTGGGGATAGAGGAATTAGCACAGTGGTTCTTAATTCTTGGCTCATCATTAAAATCACATGAAAAGCTTTAAAAACCATTACAGTGCCCATGTCCAACCCTAGACCAATTAAAGTGAAATCTAGAGGTTGAGCCCAGTTAAAAACTCCCCATTAAGATTTTATTTTATGGCTCGGCGCCTGTGGTTCAAGCAGCTAAGGC